CAGAGTTGGGTTCGAAAGATGCTGATTCGAAGGGAATCAAAATTCCAATCGAATCCTTGTGTGATGGTGGCTTTTGTCCAGTCGAAGGCTTGCCTGCCAGAGGTCACATGGCCAAACGAAAGGGTGTATGCAGAAGTTCCCTGCCTTGGGGTGCTAGCTTGAAGGAAATTCTGGCTTTGTGGTGTCAAAGGAAAACATAGAAATCCAATGGCTTCTGAGTCGAAGAAGAATTGCAGGAGGCCCTTGCTTTGTGACTTCAAACAAAACATGCAAGAGGTCTTTGCTCAAACGAAAGCTTGCCCGCCAAAGGTCCATATGGCCAAACGAACTTACATTTGAAGGAAACCACACGCCCAAATGAAGAATGTAAACCCAAACTTATGTTGAAGAAAGTCACACGCCCAAACGAAGAAAGCATGCAGGAGGTAAAGGGAAAAAGTGAAGGAAACCAGAAAAGAGGCCCTTGCCTCTTGAATCGAAGAAAGCCAAACAGGAAGATTTTCCTCTTTGAATCGAAGGAGGCTACACAAGGATTTTTTTCCTTGTGCCTGCTGGCCTGGTGGGCGCCTCTTGCGTGCAAGAAGGAATCCATGGCTCAATCGAAGGCTGCATGCAGCCAGTCATCAACTTGTCTATGCAAGCATTAAATATCCAATCGAAAGCAGGTATGCAGGCCACCATTACATTGTGAACCATGTGAAGTCAAAGATGCAGTCGAAGGTTGCATGCAGGAAGCTTATGCCTTGTGAATCAAAGCCAGCGTGCCATAGGCCAATGCACAATCGAATGATGCAAGCCAAGCTTGCATCGAAAGAGACCAGAAGTCCAATCGAAGGATGTGGATTCGAAGCAAAATTTTGTCTTGTCGAAAGGCACATTAACATCTTCAATTTTTTTCATTTTTTCATTTTCTTTAAATAGGTGTTTTGTAACCACACATGTGAGAGAAATATTGAGAAAAAAGAGAGGGCAAATTTTGGGGTGCAACACCTGTAACGCCCGTAATTTAATTAATTATTTAATTAAATTATTTTTGGAATATTTGTGAAGTTGTGTTGTGTTCAATCAGATTTAATTATTTTATTAAGTGGTGAAATAATATTAGAAGCATAATATTATTTGATGTGGGCTTTTTTTAAAGGAATGGAAGTAATAAGGGGGTGTATTAGTTTTAAGCCCAATAAGGAATAAAGAATAATAGGTTATTTTATTATTGTTAGAAATAATAGAAAGAAGAGGTAGTAGAAGAAAAATGGGTTGAGAGGAAGAACGTGAAGCTGTTGGAAAAGAGGAAAAACCGAAATTCAACCAGAAGTTATAGAGCGACCTTCAATCCAAGGTAAGGGTGGGGTTCTGGCTCTATAATTTGGTTCATGATAATTGGTATGTGGGGTTAGAGGTGATTGTTGTCTTGTTCATGAATTGGATGTATATGATATGGTATGATGGAATTGATGAATTATAGATGAATGATGACGTTCCGATGCTGTGTAATCGATGTAGAATTATAGGATAACTGTAAGTGATGACTATCTATGATTAGACTAAGTTTTTAGGGCTTAAAGTATGGAACCCGTAGTAAAAACGCAGAGAAAATCGCAGAAATTATGAAGGACAAAGCAGTATGCGTCGACCCCAAACATGATGTGTTGATTCAAGAAGGTTTAGAGACTCAGGATGAGTCGAAACGAAGAGGTTTTGCATCGATACATGAGGACTTTTAGACTCAGGATGAGTCGATACGTAGGAGCATGTGTCAATACATGCTGTGTGTTAGACTCAGTATGAGTCGATCTAAGAAAGGATGCGTCGACTCATGTTGCGAGTTCAGTGCAGTACGCGTCGATCCAAGGAATTATACATTGACCCACGTTGTCTGTTTTATTGGCAGAATCGTTTAGAAAAGGTTGTAACTTGAGATTTTGGACTCCGTTTAAGGTGTCGTTCAAAGCGTTGAATAACTAACACGGTGAGCTTTATTCTTGAGGATTAAAATGAAGAATAGGAAGTGTAAACCTAGTATCTAATTTAGGATTAGAGTTAGTTCCCTTGTTGATCGTTATGTTGGTTTTTATGAAGAAGAATGAAGATGAGATGCTTAGAGGCTGTTGTTTAATTTGTAACAGTAGGATTAATAATAATAACGATGTAATATTAAAGAATAGTAGTATGTAGAGATTTAGTGATTTAGAAGTAAGCCTTAGTTGGTTAATTAATTATAGGCAATATCTTGTATAGGCCTATGGCCAGCGTTGTGAAATTGATGAATGTTGTGGTATTACTGTACGGCTGAATTGTTGATGAGATGATGTTAATGAGATTTTGTTTGATGAATTATGATGTATATATATGATGTGTGATGATTTATGATGAATGCTATTGATGAAGAGATGATGAGATGCTTTTGAGATGTAGGCCTTTGGCCAACAATGGTGTTGTATTGAGATGTTGTCGATTGTGGTGTTGTTATTACATTCGTGATTGTGTCGCATACATTGCATTTTGAGATGGAGCTTATGCTTGTTGAGATGGCCTGTATTGGAGAATATTGAGATGAAGGCTTATGCCTTGTTGATGCCTCTATTTATTGGAAAATTTTTGAGATGGGAGTTCTGCTCCAATGGTACCACATGCGTTTGCATAGTCTTGAGTCGCATTATATGACTGCATAAAGAAGTGTGTATTGATGTGGTGAATGTGTATTATTATTGTGATTATTGTTGATTATGAGATGAGAAGTGGTGATGTTATGTGATCTAATTTAATATATTAATTATCATACGCTTTATTATATTGTTAGATATCTCACCCCTTATGTTTGAATGTTGCCCTTATGTTGGTAACATGAAGGTAATCGAGAGTGAAGGTTGTATACCTTCAGTAGTTTGAGTCAGTGTCATTGCTCTGATATGTAACACTCGGGGGGTGAACGTTTGTTGTTGTAATGATGATAAAGATGTTATTAAGAACTCCGCTGTGTAGATGTTGAATTATTTAATTAAAGTTGTTATGATGATGGTTCATCCGATGTTTTAAAGTGTTATATATCCACGATGAATGCAATATGTTTTGAAAGAAGAATTTGTGGCATCCCGATTTGTTTGCATGATTGATCTTTATTACTCTGATTTATTTATATAATTGTTGGGATAAAACTGGGGTGTTACAACACCCATATACCATCGTAGGGCGGCGGCTCTGAAAGTGCTAGATATCTTCCACTTTAGGGAGTCAGACGCTCCTATGATGAGCATTTGTATGTTGATGGAGGCAACATGGTCGTAGAGATCACTTCTCCCATCATACTTGGCTAAAGAGGGAGGTTTGAATCCCTTATAGACAAATGCTCCCCATATCTTGTCTGAGAGTGGTTAGGGATCATACACTCTCATTTCCTCTGGGAGATTGGACTCATATTGAAGTTGTTTGATGTTTTCGACATCATCCTCCAGTGTTTGGTTATAACAACGTAATCCATTCATAGTGGAGCGCATCTCTGTCTGGGTGTCGACATCACCGCTACCACTGGTACCTTTTGGCATAAAAGATGAATCTATCTTGCTAACCATGACCGAAAGTGGCTAGGTGTAGAAGCCGAGGGTATTAATGAGTGGGTTGATGGTGATGAAGAATGAGTGACCCATATTAGTTTTATTGGGGATCTATGATGGGAACTACTGTATTGGTCAAAAAGTACAGGTGTGCTTGTTACTCAGTAACGCTAGGAGAAATTAGAGGTGTTAGTAGGTGTATAACCAATAATGGTGGTTAGAGCTTACCCACATCAGTGACAATTTCTATGTACGATGGTGTTTATGATGTTAATGGTGGTTTAAGGACCTTCTCACATGAGGTGAAAGACTCTATATATGTGTTGAGTGCTTAGGTATAAGTGTATAAGTTAAGATCTCATGTTTTCCCTATGGGGGAAAGGTATTTATAGAGATTTCTTTGGGCCTATGATTTAGGAAACCATAAGGCGTGACAACCGCTCCCTCATGACTAGATGAGATTGTTGACCACCTATACGATATCTCTTAGGCGAGGACGTCCGAGCCGTCCTTGTTTTAGACTCTCACAAATATATATATATATATATATATATATATATATATATATATATATATATATATATATATATATATATATATATATATATATATATATATATATATATATATATATATATATATATATATATATATATATATATATATATATATATATATATATATATATATATATATATATATATATATATATATGAGGACATATCTAGTGAGGGTGAGTAAGTTATATGAGAATGTTAGAATGAATAAGAACCATTAGATTTAAAAAGAAAAAATTGAGATTAAATTGTGATTTTCACTAAATCATGTGTCATTAAGAAGAAAGATAAATTATTAATCAAATTTTAAAAATATCTTTTAATCTCAACTACTAATAATAAATCTAATAATTATTATTAAATTTTCATTCTCATATAACTTACTCATTTTCATTTAATATATATTAAAAAAAAGTTGTCTTGAGCACAAATATCAGTTTTTAAAAATAACAAAATAAGTAAATACAAAAAAAAGTCAACATGTTTTGATATTTTGATATTGCTTAGATAACATATTAACCTAGTGGGTGGAAACGTATAAAAAAATACTTATGATTTTCAAAGTGGTTTAAAATATACTCTTGCTCCATTGTAATGGACAAAAAAGGAAACTTCAAATCTCTACCTTCATGACATTTAATTCGAATAATCCATATTTGGAAATAGCCCGATTTTTATTAAAAGGCAAAATGTTCATTTTGGTCTCTTAACTATAGGTCATGGGTCACTTGATCCCTTATCTTTTATTTTAATAACGGAAGCACTATTTTGACACACAAAAAAAAAAGATAAGGGACCAAACTAAATCATAACCTATAATTAAATGATCAAAATGAGTATTTTACCTTATTAAAATAAAAATTTATCGAGAAAAACTAAAAAATATATATAACTATGTTGAAAACATATATGAACCATCATAGTAGTCTGAAATCATTAACTCTATGTCATCAATAGATATCTCATTAGTAGTGTGTGTATCATCAAGAACGAATGGTTCATTCCAAAAATCGCCCTCAAATTCTTCCAACCCCAACCATGGAGCACCATTGTCTTCTTCCATCAAGGAGCTATTCATGGAGCTAGGTGAATAGTTCTCTTCAGTTGATGTTTCTGCTAGCTTCGGCAATGTCGAGCTTTCTAAGATATAGTTACCAAAGTCTTTACCATCACCAGAGCTAGGGCTTTGAGGTGTCACAGAATTCTTATTACTATCAATTTCTTCAAGAGTATCATTTGATTTTGAATTCAACTCAGAAATTGTGTATTCGTTGTCAATTATATTTGAGCACTTTTTTAAGTAGCTATGCCAATAGTTCTTTATCTCGTGGTCCGTTCTTCCTGGCAGCTTTTCAGCAATCACAGACCATCTAACAAGGAATTTAAATTAGACAATAATTAATTAAGTTTAAATATATTATATATGTATATTATATTTATTCATTTTTGATGAAAAAATGAGTAATATTGTCAGCTTAATTTAGTATATACTTATTTTCAAGTTGTTGGTGTAATTTGATGATAATCACTTCTTCCTCTCTTGTGTAGTTTCCATGTTTAAGATTTGGCTTTAAGTAATTCAACCAACGAAGTCTGCAACTTTTTCCACATCTCGCTAAACCTGTCATAAAACAAAATTCATTGACATATAATATCTACTTAACATTTATTATATTTTTATTCATAGGGGATTCATTCATATGAATTAATCAATAATGTAATTAATTAACAAGTAAAAACAAATGATTAATCACTAACATAATAACATACCTGAAAGCTTGGGGAGTTGACGCCAATTAGGATGACCATTTTTCTGAATATAAGCAGTTAAACACTCATCTTCTTCTCTACTCCAAGCACCTTTCTTAACTCCATTTTTGTCATAGAAAGGAGCTCTTACCATCTCCTAATGATTACAACTATAAGTACCTTATTTAAAAGTTCTTTGCTTTTTATACAATTTGTTTATATTTGGGAGATAATTTAAATTAAAGCTTCTCTACACGTATGCAACGCAGTGTTTTGTTGTTATTTTAATACAAAGTCTTTGTTTATATTTTAATACTAGGCTTTCATATATATAGTAGTACTAGTATTTGTTTATATTTTAATACAAAGTCTTTAGCTTCCGCGTAAGTTCTTTTTTATTTCCTAGCATTTTGAGGGAAACTACTATAATATTAATAAATGTGTTAGAATTAATAAAAAATGATTATCCTTTTTATGTAAGATAAGGTTGGGTATATAGAAAGACTTTTAATATATAGAATGACAGAAAGAGATCTAAAATTTTTGGCGTTTTCTAATTTGTTTTTTTCTTGACCTAGACACAATCCAAAGTCGTGTATTTAATTTAGTCACTCCGATCTATATTAAACTTGTGCAAAAAATAAAAACTTCCAAATAATTGTCAAAAAAGGATTCAATAAATCTAATTAGTCACGTATTTATCTATTTTATTTTTATGTATTTATTAGACTAGAAATTCAACCGCGTTTGTGTTTAACGTTTTTTGAAGAGTAGATCTAAAATTGAGAGACATATTTCTCTTGAGACAAATTCTTTCATAGAAGCCCACATAAATTCATATTTATAGATACATGATTTGTTAAAAAAAAAATTATTCATATAGACATTTAATAATGAGAGAGAAAATTTAAAATTTTATTTAAATTTTATTTTATTTTTTAATTAGATTCATGAGTGATTGTGATTATGAAGGAGAGAGACTATATTGTATTTTTTTTTTAATTAATTAAAATTTTGTGATTGATTGTGTGTAAAACTACTTATGTTTGTGTTTACGAAAAAAATTTCTTTCCCTCAAAGTTATTGTTAGAACAAAAGATTTATTGTTAAGAGCATTTAAATAATACTTTCATAATTCGACAATAAATCTGACATGTATAGTAAAATCATGTGGTTAATGCCATTAAAAATATCCAATCATCAAATCATGATTACACTTAACCTATACACCCTCAATATCGAAAGAACCTCAATAATATGAACCAATCATCACCATCATTCACAAGGAGATAAGATAAACAATGATCGAATGAACCTCCATAATCAATGGGCATGACAATGATCATGTCTTTTCCTACTAATTTTGGAGTTATGACAATTGTTCCACTTCAGAAACCAGTGACAATAACTACGTCTATTATTAAACAACAATTAGTCTTGAGAATACATGACATTATGTATCAAGATGTAGCTTCTGGTACATCTTGTGTCAATCGTCTACTCATATATATTTTGTTAAGGCTTTTTATCCTATATTATTAGTATTATTATGTCTATAAAATATGTTAAGTATTGAAGCAACTAGGAAAATATCATAAATAATGAAGTCGCCATCGAATATTTATTTATCTCACAAAAGGGAAAGAAAAACATCGAAGAAAACATGAGAAGGGAGAAATCAAGGTCTTGCGACCAAGAGAACGGGTACGGGAGTCAATTACGCAAGGAGAAAGTATTAACACCCCTCACGCTTATGGTACTGCATGGGATCCACTCTTCTTGTTCTAATCAAAGAGTGTGTCAAATCTAGAGCTAACAAGTTAAGGGAAAATGCATGAATGCAATAGTATATACACAAAAAGAAAGTTTTTATTATTGCGCCCGCCGCAATTGCGAACATTTGTGCCTACGTACCCTCTTCGTGCAATGAAAGATCAGGGCACTCATAGTTAACCTAAAAAGGTGTTTTAGGTTAATATAGGTCCACAATAATGTTTGGATCAGTCTTTTGGATCTCCAAATGAAACAATCTTCAAAATGGCCCAAATTGTTACTTTGGATGACATAAATGGTAAAATTTCTTCATAAATTCATAACTTGCTCAATTTTTATCCAAATGACACAAACTTGGACTGTTTGGAAAAGGGGTGAGATTTACTACTACTTTCATGCTGATGACTTTTTGATTTGAAGCTTTAAAACCCATGAAAAATGGATACGAAATTTATTCATAAAGATGACCAAAATAACTTAGCCAAATTTTCACTAAGTTAAAATATTCCAAGTAATGAATCATACACTTCCACCTTAAATAACTCCTTCTCCTTTGATTTTTTGGACATGAACCCTCATGGACAAAGATATACTATGAAACTTTATCTATCCATTGATCACAAGTTTTCAAGTTTCTCATTAAAAATGAGTGAGATATGATCTTTGGGAAATTGCAAAAATGGCTTAAAACCTCATAACTTTGAAAAATTTCTAAGTTATTCAAGATAACTTCTTTGACAAGTCAACCTCAAAATCACCATTTCTCTTCATTTTCTTTAACCAATGACCACATGAACCTAAAATATGAACTTTTATTTCAATCTTGGCCCAAAATCCAATTGGTCAACGTTTGACTTTTTGTTGACTTTTCTCAGAGATAGTCAATTTTCTCATGCTTTCTAATGGAAATGATTCTTCTAATGAAATGACGATGATCAATGGATAAAAAATGAATACCTTGCATTAATTAACACCACGTAGCTCCAAGTTTTTCTCAGAAAGTCAATCACACATTGACTTTGACCAAAACCCTGGTTGAGGACCAAAAAGTTAATAGAGAATGACCAATGCTCAAAACCCTAATCTGTTGGTGGTTCTTGGAGAAAATTCTGAACAAGATGAGCATTTATATCAAGAGGATACTCATGATGATGATATCCCAACCTTCTAAACCTCTGAATAATGGTCTCCTCTTTAATTTATTGATAAACCATCAACTTCAAAACACTTGATCCAACACACAAGAGCCAAGGATATGCATATGTATGTATGGTGATGCAACATAAGCCTAATTAAGATTGAAAAAAAAGAGGGCAAATTTTGGGGTACAACAAGTATCTCCATAACTTGTTGGTATCATGCGATTTATAGTTCATAAGGAGATCTAATAAGCCATATAATTAAAGATCAAATAAGTTAATCCATGTGATAATGTTTGTCACGTCAACCACGCTAGGAGTTCACGTAAACCAAAGTTGGGAAGACTTTATTAATTAAATCCAACCGGTCTATAAAATAACGGGGCCTTCTCAAGGCTATCTAAGTCTTATATAACATGTACTTTTCACCCCTTATTTTTCTCAGCCAGATACCTTTTCCAGATATAACCCTAGGGGTTCCTAATAATGAATAGTATGTATAAGTGATGACACTCTGTCTTCATGTAATTCTATTAAGCATTAGTAGTTGTTTTAATCATGTTTTAGATCAATTGGCATTATTTTGGTGAAGGAACTTATGAAATACAAAGAAGTGTGAGAAACTTAAAAAAAACAAGATTTTTTAAAGAAAAAGAAACATCCATTACTAGAAAAATCATGCCAGGATCGTGGCACAAACTTCCGGAAAGGAGAAAAATCGCGTCTTGATGTAAAGTGACCGTGGCACGATCCTTCTATCACACAAACCATCGTGGCACGATCCAAAGGTGTCGTGGCACAAAATTACTCATATTTGAATGCAGTTTGACTTTTATAAAATGGTAAAGTAAAATTTTTTAGAGGATCTTATTTTCTTGGCATGGGAATTTTGATGGAAAAGACTAAAATAAAGCTTTAGAAAAAAGGTTTTCATCATTGGAAGCCAAATTTCTACCAAAAATTTATGTAATATTTACTTACTTTTTTTGTTATAACTTATTTCAATAGGAGTAGCTAATTTCATTTGATTAAGGTTTATTAGATGAACCTGTATGAACCTGTTGGTCCATATTCTTTGAGTTTTGTACTATTTGCAAGCTTGATTAATTAGTATTTTTTTATTTAGTTAAATCTTGTGTTCATTGCTTTGTTTGTGTTGAAGAGCTCATATATTGAACCTATAATGAAGATGTGAAAAACACAAGAAGGGGGGTTGGATTGTTGAAACTTGAAATCAAATGCAGACAACACGTTATTTTTATCCTTGTTCGTTTGATCTCAAACTACTCCAGTCCACCCGTCAAGGTGATTTCGCCTCTCTCCAACGAGGTCTTAATCCACTATATTCAACTGAATACAAAACTGCTTTAACAACTGCTAAAGCCTTCTTGAGTCTAAACCACATACCGGTTTCTCAAGGAAATTCTTTCTACAGATAAATGAACAATATGTGTGTTGAATGTTTTCTGGAAAAACTATATATCACAACTGTGATAATACACAATATAAAGCTTATGTGAAACTAGAATGCTAGAACTATAGAGTAAGCAATTTGAGAGCTTTAGCAAACTGAATGAGTGAGGACGAAGATGATTGGCTTATGCGTGTAGGAGAATTGTATAGTATTAGCCATTTCCTTTCTCACTGATTTGATTAAATACTTCTTGGAATAGATACGTTGCAGTCCATAATTCCATTTCAATTCTCATAGCATTCTTTCCATTTTGAGAAGATCTTTGTCTTGGAATAATGTCGTTGGTAATTAATCTGCCTTGAATGCAGTACCGTTGACACTTCAGAATGTTCTGCGTAATGAAGATCAGAGCGAGCTTGGCTTTAGCTTCTTATGGCGCTTCTGAATGCTGATGACATGGTTATGATCTTGATCAGAGTTAGAGTATGTTGAGCGCAGATTCTGTTCATCAGACTTCAGCGTAAGCACATGTTTGATCTTCTGAAGTGACATATCTTCTGATGCTGATGTTGATATTCTGATGCTGATTCCATCAGAGTTTCCTGCAAATACACAACATAATTTTAGGTAGCATCTATGTCATATATAAAACTCATAATTCATTTAATCTTGTATTTTGTTATCATCAAAACTCTAACTGAGGGTTGTAGAATCAAACTTTGTTCTAACAATCTCCCCCTTTTTGATGATGACAAAAACCATATTTTTTCAATTAAAATAAAATGATGAAAGTATCAGAGTTTAAGGATAAAGAGGAAACGATATCAG